CTCAGCATCGCCGGGGTGCAGGCAGCCCCATGGGTGACGGGGGAGCCCAGCACCCACCGACCCCGCTGGAGGAGATCGCCAGCAAAATTTCAGATCTGAACAAATGGAGAGAAATTTTTGGTTTCCACGGGTAAGATTTTTGTAAGCTTTTTATTCTGCTTCATTTTCACATGGTTTTAATTCCAGGTGGGTTTTTTTAACATAATTTTAATATAATTAATTTTAACACCATTTTTTAAGTTATGTTTTATTACAATACTTACGTGACCATGGAAAAAGGTCTTCATGTTTGCAGTAATGGCAGTACTACAGCTTTTACTCTTCCTCTCTTTCGGGTTTTTTTCCGGCTGGTCTCCTCTTTCTCCATATGTTAGCAGTGACTCTTTTGTTGTATTGTGGGGGGTTTTTAATTTGCATTTTATTTTCCCTTTTCAGTCTGGAAATCAGCAATGCAACTCATCAGGTAACTGTTTCTGCAAAAGGTAACCTTTTGTATTTGTCCAGAGCTTTTTGTGACTGATCCATGAGGTCAGCCTGCTGGGGATACCACACGTGTCTGTGCGGCACAGCAGGCACTTTGTGGAGATGCTCCTCCTTTAAGAAACACACATTTTCTTGAAATATTTTAAAGGAATGTCTTCCCCATCTAAATCAAAGTGGCAGAGTAGCCCAACACAAATTAACCTCTCTGTCAAAAAGTAACAGTTTTCAGGGTCAGTTTCAGAACGCTGGGGAAAAAAGGGGAACAAATTAAGATCTTTAAAGTATAAATATTCGGAAAACCTGCTGTGTCTTTATTTTGAAAAGCACCAGATCTTGTTCCCTGTGATCCAGACAAACAGAGCATCGCTTTACGCTCCAGCCATCGGCTCGTAGGGATGCGTTTGCAAGGACTGAGCAAAGCCGGCGGCTCCCCCAGCCCTCTGCCAGCCCATCGTGGGGGCTCTGCCCGCCTCGACGGCAACTCCGGGAGAACTTTGGGCACAGCCCTGGGGTGACGCTGCCTCTGCTCCTCTCTCTGTCAGCGAGGCCGGGGCAGCGGTGATGGACAACCCGGGGGACAGGAGCTGCCTCACCCCCCCTCCGCCATCCCCAAGACCCTCCTGGTCCCTCCAGACACGGGCGGCCGCCCCATCTCTTTGGAAATGGCCACGGTGAGCAGGCTGCTGAATTTAGCATGAGCTGTAAACGGATCTCCTTAAAGAAAGTGACTGGGAAACATTCCCTGGCGGGTGGGGAGGCTCGGGGTGTCGCCGGGCTGAAGGCTGCAGCCGGCTGTTCGCTGCGACAGAGGGATATAACCACAATGATTTATTTATGAGACTTTTAAAGAACATGGTTGCAACACAACCTTAGAGCTGACAGACTAATTTGCATCAGACCATAGCTCAAACAACAAAGTGTAACGTGTCCCTGCTCTCCAGCGCTTCCCTGGGGAGAAGCCTCCAAGCAGGAGGCAGGAGAACAGGAGATCAGGAGATGGAGATCCTTACGGTGCTTCTACTCCGCTCCAAGCTCCTGGGTGGGAGAGCACTTGGGATGGGTCCTCCTGGCCCTGCCTGCCAGAGGGTTGGGGGCATCGTAGGTGACAACAGTCTGGTCTCCAGTGCCAGGTTTACCCCGCTGTG